GAGAGGAGGAGATGATGGAGGCCGCCAGCGAGTTCCTGCACTGTTTTCAGGTCATGTCTATTGAGCTTTACCGCTCCTTTGATGACACCGCCGATGACAACGATTCCCGAAACGGTTATTGACTATAACACTACTATACTTCAAAACAAAGCAATTGTACTGCTTTGTGCTTGTTTTCCCCTTTTTCATAAATAAAGCTAGAATAAAACAGTATTCAAACCACCAAAACCATGATTTGTGTGATTATCTTTATTGTTTGATCATTGTTGTTGCCATATACCTGCACTACTACAATTGAAGGTCATTTTTAAACATAAAAATAGTTTAATTTAAAAAACAAAATAAAGCTAACGCCCAACAGATTTGTTCATTNATAGTTCAATTTAAAAAACAAAATAAAGCTAACGCCCAACTGATTTGTTCATGATGTGTAGGTTTTGATTCAACTATTATTCATGTTGACCCTGTTGTTCCTTCCACATTTTTTTCACTTTGATTATTTCATCAAGTTCACTGCAAGTGCAAGCTTGAGCTAGAAATGAATTGGTACAGAGCGCATCAGCTGAAGCACGCTCTTTAGGATCAATCGCTGTCATTCTGTTGAAAATAGACAAAATACTAAACTTATAAAAAAACTTTTTTTCAAATAATACTTACAATGAGAAAAAGGTTTTCACTTTAACTGAATAGCTTTCGTTATCTGAAAGTTTAAGGCCTTGGTTTGCGATGGCCTCTAAAACGGTATCGTCATTTGCATCTTCATAGGGAAAATGGCATTCAAGTAGCTGATATAGTGTAGCACCAAGTGCCCAAATCTAAATACAAGTAAAAGAATGCCTCAATATTTATCGGTTCACAACTTTCCCACTTACATCAACAGCGGCAGAAAAATCCTCGCATTTGCGGTCACCATTCAGTGAGGCTCTGGCCATTTCAGGCGATGTATAACGACGAGTGCCTTTGGTGACACGGCCAAGATTGGCCAAGTTTCTCGCCTTGCCAAAGTCGGCAATCTTCACATTGCCATTGTGCAGAAGAATATTGCCCGGTTTGACGTCGTTGTGAACGATGCCCTGCAGGTGAAAGTGACATATTTATAGTGATAACATCTTTATCCACAAGAACACTACCACTGACCATGGAGTGAATGTAAGCGATCCCCCTTAGCACCTGCTTCATCACACAGGCAATGTACCGTTCTGGCCAGTGATCACGCCAGTACAGTGCCAGAGAGCCGTCCTCCATTGGCTGGAAAGCCAGTGCCATGTAGTACTTGTTGGGGTGCTCAAAGATTTGAAAAATAGAGCAATGCTCGGAGTTGAGGATGTTTGGGTGGCTCAGCAGTTTGGGCGAGGTGAAGGAAACCTCGCCGATGACGCCTCGAATGCTGCAGCCATTGAGAGTTTCCACTTTGAGAGCAATCAAGCGGTCAGCACTGTCTCCGG